TTAAAGATTCCCTTTGGCTGTGATTTGGGGGTTGGACCCCATGGGGTGGAGGGTCATCACAATGAAATCCAGCAGGAGCCTGTTGCTGTGTCCAGACAGGAGTGGCTTGGGAAGGTAGGTGGCTGTGGGCAAGGAGATGGCTGGATGGCTTTGAGAATTTAGGAGGTAAAATACATAGGAACTGGTGAGGGAGTAGACATAGGGGGCTGAAGGAGAAGAAGAAGGCCAGACTTCTGGCTGGGCCAACTAAAGAAGTGGTCAGACTGCCAACTGACCCCATGAAGAGTGGGAGGAGGGGAAAGGTGAGAGTGAGGAGAAGAGGAGGGTATGGAGGAGGTGAGAAAGAGGAGGAGGAGAAGAGGTGAGGGAGGGGAAAGGGGAGAAAGAAGTATGGAAGAAGAGGAGGAACCATATTGCCCATGTGGTATTTTGAGGCATCTGGGAGAGAAGGCGCCAGTTCAGGCACCTTTGCCACGGAGAGGCCTGTGAGGGAGGCCCAAGGGACAAGGTTCTGTGCAGGTAGTTTAGTGGTCGGTGAGACCAGGAAGGGAAGGAGCCACTCTGCAAACATGCAGAGCAGGCTCTCTGTGCCAAGGCCATGCTAGGCCCGAGGAGAGAAATAGCAATGACACATTGGTATGTGCTGGGGCGGGGGGAGGTGTGATCAATTTACCATCAATTCCCCAGGCCCTTACCACTCCAGGGCCCACTGCCCAATGGGGTGTATTTTTGACAGTCCCTGCTGGGGGCAACTGGAGCTCAGTCTGACCAAGGAACCTGAGGAGGCAATGTAGAGCAGGTACCCCAGAGTGTGTCCCCAGAGTGTGCCTGTGGAGGACAGGGAGCTGATCACTGACTGAAGGCTGCTCCTGGGGCATTCATTCCTCTGCCTGCTCAATGCATGGGCAGAGCATTCTTCAGTGGCTGGAGAGAGCTTTTGGGATAAAAGACTGATGTTGGTGGTTGGAAATTGGGCAGTGGGCCCTGGAGTGGTAAGGGCCTGGGGAATTGATGGTAAATTGATCACACCTCCCCCCGCCCCAGCACATACCAATGTGTCATTGCTATTTCTCTCCTCGGGCCTAGCATGGCCTTGGCACAGAGAGCCTGCTCTGCATGTTTGCAGGCCATGGGTGTTCACTGTGGGCAGAGGCTGTCTGTGCATTGGTGGAAGGAGACATTTAGACCTGTCCCCTTGGAGCCCCCTCCACTAGCCCTTCTAGTCACTGCTTTTTTTGACATCTGAGAATATGGGCCAAGACCTTGCCCTGTTCTTTTCCCGGATGTCACCGAAACCTGAGGTATCCAGAGCCTCAGTGTTCTGGGCATGGAGTGTCCAGCTCTATTGAGAGGCCCCTCCCAGGGACTTTCAGGCCCCTCCCACTGGTCATGTGGTAGCTGCCTCTCTAAGAGCTCCCAGCCCAGGCCTGACCAGTGTTCTGAACACTCTGGGTGCCAGGAGGCTGTGTCCATAGCCACTGGGGTCAGCAGGGACAGCTTCGCTACCTCTCAGGGGCTCTGGGTCCACGTTCTCCACTGCCTATTCTCTGCCTGTTGGCTTGATTCGCTGCTGTCTCTGGTGTGGAAGTCGCCTTTTCTAGCTCAGGTAGTGCACCCTATTGCTTCTCTTCTGTTCCGTCCCAGCAATGCTCTGGACCCCCGCTGGCCAAGCTGGGCATCTGCTGATGATGGTCCTGTTATCTTTACCATCTCACTTCTGTCTACAAGTTGCTTTGTGACCTGGGATGAGTCTCAGCCTCAATTTTCTCATCTATAAAAAAGGGGAGCTGGCCTCCTTGCTTGCTAAGGCCTCTTCTAAGAAAACAAATCTAATTCCATTTCTTATCTGATTTAACCGTATGTAAGAGTAAGAGTCAATCAGGCCTGTATATCCTTGAGGATATTGTTCCACATTTCTTAAATTGAGTCCTTAAAGACTGCAGAGCTGTGTAGCCTTCTTGCCATGACTGTGTTTGTGTGTGAGGAGTATCCTTGGGACATTTGGCAAGTTTGTGGGGCTGGGGTTTCTACTCATGGATCCTCTTCTGGGTCTTTCTTTGTGGTGCTGTATTCACCAACAGTCTGCGAGGGGCTCCCTATACCCTGAGCATCTCACACACACATACACACATGCACATGCACACACACACATGAGTGTGTGCACACGCACAGCACAATGAGGGCATGAGAGGCTGAGGACTGGATCAATACACAGGATTCCAACTCTTGTGTTCTTTAGTTTCTGGGTGACTTTGGACAAGTGACTTTGTTCTGAGTCTCAAGTTTCCAGTTCTGAGAAAAGGGGGAGTGGGTGTGAACACGATCTTGTTAATTTTAGGAGTAAAGTCAACAGAAGAGGGAGTTCCCAGGCTTGTGTGACATAGTCTGGGACTCAAGATATGCCAGGAGTCACTGCAGCAGCCCCATCAACCTGGGAGCTGACCAGGTAGGTGTGAGGCTGCCCAGCTGCCAGGAGCAGTGCACCAGGCTGGGCCCTCTGGCCTTTGATTATTGTAATTCTGTATTATACAGACCTTGAGTTGCTTGGAGCCCCAGCTGGAGCAGCCATGACCCACTGGACATCCCTCAAGGCTTCCAGGCCATACAAACCCACCCCCTGCAATCTGGCAGCCTCCTGCCAGCATCTGAGTACCTCGACTCAGACCACCTCCTTCTGGAGGATCCAGGAATCTGGGGCTGAGCCATCTTCCGGCAAAGTCCCCGGGGTCCTCACCATTGCCAACTCCCTGCCTCCTGGCCCAGGCAGAAGCAGCATTCTTCATTACGGCCTCCAGCCTCAGCTCCTCAGACCCATGGTGAGGTGGTCAGCTGGAGCACCTGTGGGGTGAGGATGGAGCATGAAGAGGGGCCCCTGCAGAGCCTGGGGCTCCATAATGGGAGACCTTGCATTTGACAAAAATGATTCAAATCTCAGTTCTCCTGCTTATTGGCTGTGTGGGTTTGGGGAAGTCACTTTACCTTTCTGAATCTGCATTCAGAGGCTAGAAGTAAGGATAGTACCTACCTCCTTGAGCTATTGTCCAGATGATTTAAGAGCATTCGCTTATGTGTTTGACTTGCTTTACCTGTGGTTTGAGGAGCTGGTTCACTCAGGCAGTAAGTGCCATGTGAGCATCATGTACATGCCAGCTCTGGAGACTCAGCAGCATCTGGTGACCAAGACAGACCCTGAAAGACCTTGCAGCCTTGTAGTCTGAGGGCTGTACCCTCACTTGTCTCCCAGATGTTTGGAGCAGAGGTCAGAGGTCATTGCTCCTCTGAGGCTCTGGCTGTACCTGGTCACACAGATGAGGGCTGAATCTTAGCATTGTTACCTCCTGGCTATATCACTTTCAGTTTCCAAGCCTCTAGTGGGTGCCCAGCTACCTGCCTCCCTGCTTCTGGCTCAGCCTCCCAGGGACCTTCTCCTCTGGGGCCTTGTTGTCTTCTGGATGCTCAAGGGCTCCCAGCCTTGTCTAGCTTTGACCAGGTGGGGATTGGGGGTGTGTGGGGTCCCTGCTTGTGGGGAGGAACATGTCCAACTCCTCAGTGTCCTAGCCAGGCCAACTGGCCAGGGGTCTACCCCTCCTTTCAGGCCAGCCCAGCCCTGCTGAGACAAGCTGAGGTCCTGAGCACTGAAAGCCCTGAAGCTAATGGCCAGATTGTCTTAGTGCTCACAGGGCCAAGTGGTGCCATGGCCCCCAGCCTGCAGATGCCTCAGCCTGGCACCAGCAGGCTGTCCTGGAGCCAGCAGGGCACTGGAGAAGGAGTGGCCACTGGCCTGTGTGTCTAGGTGCTGGACACATACCACCAGCCATGGGAGCAGTGTTTGTCTGGTGAAGATGCAGTTCCATGGGGCATGCGCTGAGATGGCCAAGTGTGTGTGAGTATGTGTGTGTGCAGCAGGCCAACCAGATGGTCCCCTGAGTAGGCCAAGGACAGTGACACTTCTAAGTGCCCCTAATGTACTCTTTAGAGCTGAGGAAGGTGGGAGTGGGGGAGGCCCTTGGACTGCGGTCAGCCAGTCAGTGACCCCTCTGGGCACTGACTCAGTGGTCTCCTCCTAGCTACTGCTGGTGACAGGAGACATGAGTGCTGAGTGGGTGCCTGAGGCAAAGAGCATCAGGAGGGTGGGTGGGGCCCAGCTTGGGATGTCCTGGGGAACAGAGCTGTTTCTAGGCCCTGGGGGTGAGACACTATTGAGGGAAACAGCAAGCTGTTTGTGCTCAGGTGGCCAACAGTCTCATGGTAGGGATGGCAGCCAAGTGCAACCCCGTGTGCATCATTGCTGTTATTATTACTACCATTATTAGGTTCGAGGTCAGGGCTGTGGGGTTACAGTGGGGACCTGGGAGGGGTGTACCATCTTCTGAAGGCACAGGGAGGCCTCTGGAGATGTTTTTATGGCATGAAAGTCAAGACCTGAAAGAGGGAGGTGGTGGGAAAATGGGAAGAGAGAGTCCAGGGTGGGTTTAAGGAACAGTGGGCTACAGCAGGGCGAGTGATGGGGAGGTGAGATCCGAGGGGTCCTGGGCTCTGCTCATGCAGGCCCTGCAGGTGCCAGCAGGAACTCTGGCTTTGAGCAGATGATGGACAGGCTTCCCCTGGTTGCTGCTGGACTGAGATTGGGTGGGAGCAGGAGCAGGAAGATTGGTGAGGTGGCCACCATGCTGATCCAGGTGGGTGATGATGGGGACTCAGGTCATGAGGGTGAGAGAAGGAGTTGAATCCTAAATATATTTTCAAAGCAGAGTCCTTGGGGTGGGGTTAAAAGAAGTTGAAGATGAATCCAAGGGTTTTGGCTGGAGGTGCTGGGAGGATGGAGTGGCCGTTTTCCAATCTGAGAAGGAGGGTAAAGAGCTGGCTTAAGGTGAGAAGGAAGATCAGGAGCTTGGTTATGGGTAAATTAGGGTCAAATGTTGGCCAGCTACATCTGAGAGTTCTGGGTGGGGGCAGAGGCATGGGTGAGTGTGGGACACTTGCCGTCCTATCTGTTGCAGGAGCCACCCCACCCGGAGCTGGCCTGGCTTGCCCACCCCATCCCCGGGATGACCACTGCCGGCCGGGCCAATCCCTACAGCATTGTGTCATCAGAGGAGGACGGACTGCACCTGGTTACCATGTCGGGAACCAATGGCTTTGGCAATGGCAAGGTGCATACACGGCGCAGGTGCCGAAACCGCTTTGTCAAGAAGAACGGCCAGTGCAACATTGAGTTTGCCAACATGGATGAGAAGTCGCAGCGCTACCTGGCTGATATGTTCACCACCTGTGTAGATATCCGCTGGCGCTACATGCTGCTCATCTTCTCACTGGCCTTCCTTGCCTCCTGGCTACTATTTGGAGTCATCTTTTGGGTCATTGCTGTGGTCCACGGTGATCTGGAGCCTGCTGAGGACCGTGGTCGCACGCCCTGTGTGATGCAGGTCCATGGCTTCATGGCAGCCTTCCTCTTCTCCATTGAGACACAGACCACCATTGGCTATGGGCTGCGCTGTGTGACGGAGGAGTGCCCAGTGGCCGTCTTCATGGTGGTGGCTCAGTCTATTGTGGGCTGCATCATCGACTCCTTCATGATTGGTGCCATCATGGCCAAGATGGCCAGGCCCAAGAAGCGGGCGCAGACGCTACTGTTCAGCCACAATGCTGTTGTGGCGCTGCGAGATGGCAAACTCTGCCTCATGTGGCGTGTGGGCAACCTGCGTAAGAGCCACATTGTGGAGGCCCATGTGAGGGCTCAGCTTATCAAGCCGAGGGTCACGGAGGAGGGTGAGTATATCCCACTGGACCAGATTGACATCGATGTTGGCTTCGACAAGGGCCTTGACCGCATCTTCCTGGTGTCACCCATCACCATCCTGCATGAGATCGATGAGGCCAGCCCGCTGTTTGGCATTAGCCAGCAGGACCTGGAGACAGATGACTTTGAAATTGTAGTTATTCTGGAGGGCATGGTGGAGGCTACTGCCATGACTACACAGGCCCGAAGCTCCTACCTGGCCAACGAGATCCTGTGGGGTCACCGCTTTGAGCCTGTACTCTTTGAGGAGAAAAACCAGTACAAGATCGATTACTCACACTTCCACAAGACCTACGAGGTACCCTCCACGCCCCGCTGCAGTGCCAAGGACCTGGTGGAGAACAAGTTTCTACTGCCCAGCGCCAACTCCTTCTGCTATGAGAATGAGCTGGCCTTCCTAAGCCGTGATGAGGATGATGAAGCAGATGAAGACCAGGACAGCAGTAGCCCTCAGGCCAGGCATGACTTTGACAGACTCCAAGCTGGTGGGGGTGCCCTTGAGCAGCGGCCCTACAGACGGGAGTCTGAGATCTGAGCCACTGTTGGCCAAGATGCAGCATCCACTCAGCCAAGGAGAGGCCCACATCCTGTGAGGGCTCCGGTTTTGAGCAGAATGGGCAAGGTGTCCCAGTTGCAGACTCAGTAGCACTTTAGATGTTTTATGTTCTTTATGATGGCCTTGGAAGTTTGGCGGGGAAGTGGGCAGCTGGAGCTGGTAGCCCCCGGCCTCAAAGGCCCAAGCAGGCTCAGGGGCAAGGAGGTGGCCTCCTGGGGGCCGGGCCATGGGAGTTAGGGGCTTCTGCCTGAGGAAAGTGCTGAAGCCTGCCCAGAAAGGGCTCTGTAGCTGCCCAGGCTTTGGGAGAAAGCTGGCAGGCTACAGGGCACCTTGCTGGTTTTTAACTTGGGGAGAAACAATGGGTTTTGGCTTTCTCAATCTTAACTTGAGTAAGACTGTTTACAAAAAAAAAAATTAACACGATTAAAAAATTTTTTAAGGACAATTAGAATTCCATTGGTCTGCCAGGATGCAGGCAGCTGGGTAGAGGCTCCAAAAGGCTCTCTAAGACTGGACGGGCCTCTACTCTGCAAAGGCCAGGCGTATGCAGGTGGTGCAGTGACAGTAAGCACAGTGCTCACCATGGTTCTTTATGTACATGAGCAGATTAGATTCCATTTGTGATAGAAAAACCAAGCTCATGTTAATGATCATAATAAAAGCTTTCCAATGTCATAGGTGGGAGTAAGGGCTGGGAAACAACTAGTTTGAGATTTTTGAGTTTGACTTTGTACCTTAGAGGTGCATCTCAGGGCCAGATATGAGACCTGCCTGCCATAGAGCGTCCCCTTTCTCCCAACACACCGGATTCTCCGGGTTTGTTTATTTCTCCTTTTCTGGCCAGTGGCCTCCACTCTTTTCATGGTGATGGGCAGTTGGGAAATGCAGGACTGGGTGGCTCTGTGGGAAGGGAAGCTCAGTTCCCAGACTAGGAGGAAATGGCTCAGCCCCATCTTGAATGGGACCCCACGTGAATTGTGCCTTAGAGACTCTGAGTGGTCTGGCCCCAGTTGTTTCTGTTTTTATCAAACTCCACTGTCCCCTCCCACTGCCCTGACTCCACCGCAAAGTCCCTGCTAGCCCCTCTGTCTGCAGAGGCTAGACTGACGTGGTACTCTCCCTGCACCTGGGGCAGCACAGGTGAGTCCAAGTGGGTGGCAGCCTGGATGTATCCTGCCTGAATGGCAAAGAAGCAATTGTAGGAAAGGCATGGAATTGTCAGCTGAGGTCCCTGGGAGTGGCACATGCATCCAAGCACCCTAATGGGGAAGAGGTTGTTGGCCCTACTGGCCCAAAGGCAGGCCCCTGCACCCTGAGCTGCCCAATGTGGGCGTGTTCTTGGCAGAGAAGACAGTTGGCAGGGGCTGGACCCTGGGATGGAGCTGGGAACTTTTCCCAGGACAGCTAAGAATGCTGCCCTTCTAAATGACCAGGCCCATAAGGAAGTCAGTATTAGAAATATACTGTGTCTCTTCAGCCTGCCTTACCAGGCCTCTCCAATCTGTGCCCCTAAGACAGCTCACAACCTAAAGGCATCAGAGACTCTAGCCCAAATGGAGAAGCTGAGACAGAGTGTAAAGTCATATAAATAGGGGATGAGACTTGAGAGACACAGAGAGGCCGGGGCCTGGGTGTGGTCTCCTGCCTCTTCCCTCTTCCACCAATCCCCATGGTAGCTGGAAACCTGACCTGAGGTCAGGGGCAGTGGAGAGCCCTGGGCATAGGCTATCAGCTCCCACTCAGAGATACCCCAGCAGTCCCTGGCCTGAGGTAGACCTGACTCCCCATACCCTGTCCTAGCCTCAGACCTCACCCCAACTTCTGGCCAAGAAGATTCAGCTCAAGGCACTAGAGGCAGCTCTTTCCTCTCAGGATCTGCTGGAGGGGCTCCTTCCAGCCTGGCATGGCCCCCTGCCCTGAGCCTGGCTGGCATTCTCAGCTTTACCTGAGGGTAAGGGTGGAGTTGATGTAGGAGCACTTACCCACTCACCCCTGCCTAGATTGTCAGGCTGAGCCAGGGAGGGACAAGGTGGCCCTAGACAATCAGGGCAGCATAGAGGCCAGTGCTTGGAACTGCGCAGGAGCTGGAAATCCTTCCAGGGCAGGGTGGACCAGACTTCCACTCACTCCATCCAGAGCAGAGCCCAGGAACCCCAGAACCCCAAGGCTCTGGCAATCTCGGGTGGCCTGGTATACCTCCTTTCATGGCTGTCACCTCCCAGGTCAGCCCCCAGATCCTGTGGGAGAGCAACTCCATGCTGCCTTTCATTCCCTGCCAAAGGCAGATGCTGCATTTTCAAACTCTTCTGCCGTTTTCTTTTCCTTTCCTGTATTATTTATTTATTGCTTGTGCTAAAGACCAAAACAGTCTCCCTCTTTAATGCACTTGAAATGGGAGGGTGGATGGGAGGAGGAACTGTGTGTATACCAAGCAAGGATCACATGGCCCCTGAGAGGTGTGTGTGGGGGCATGTGTGCCCATGTGTGATGTGTGGAGAGCTAGTTAACCCACTGACTGTGCTGTGCACAGGTGAGTGGGGCATGCTCGTGCACGTGCGTGCATGTGGCGTGTGATGAGTGTGTGTGTGCAAGTAAATGTGTGTCATGTGTGGTCTGTGTGACATGCAGGTGTGTGTTCCAACCTGCTACCACCCTCACCCTCTTAGGCAGTGGAGTTTCCAAGAAGTTTCTCAACAGCCTGAACCAGGACATCCAGAGGTTGAGAGTGGGCTAAGAATGTGGCCTCTGGCACTCTCTGCTCTGAGACATTTAGCTGCTTATGTGGGCCGTACTGGCAGTGTGTGTGTGACTGTGAGAATGTGAGAAAGTATGTGGATTTATATGTGGAATTCTCATCTATGTTCAAATGAAACATTCAATTATGGCTTTGCCTGTAAGTGCATGACCATGTGGAATCATCGTGTGAGACTGTTGTATGGATGTATGCATATGATGATCTCTATATATACGTGATATGTATGTGTGTATGTATACACACACATACACACAAAATTATGTGTTTATTATCCATAGGTGTCTTTGTGTGTGTGTGTTTTATATGTGGGTGTTGGCTTAAATATTCACCAGGTTGTAAGGCTGGGTACACACTGCTCAGGATGGACACCAGCCATGGCCATCAGCACAGATAAACTCAGTAGTCCCACTGGCCCTCTGCCCTGATCATGTCCATATAGGCTGTGTGGAGTATGTGTACCAGGGTAAGCTGTGTGTGTGTGTGTGTGTGTGTGTGTGTGTGTGTGTGTGTGTGTGTGTGTATGAGGTAATATCTACACACATGTATTTGAGTCCTTGGCTTCCAGCAGTAAGTGATTGTGGGCAGGATGCCATGTGCGTGGTTGTCCATGTGAACATGTACATGTGTGTGGTGCATTTGTGTGGCAGCTGTGCCAGTTTCCATGAGTGGAGATGGTGCCTGCCTGCTGGGGGCAGTGTATATGTGTGTGAGTATGTGCAGGTCCTGAGAATTGTGCACACAAATAGCAAGGAATGGCATGTCTGTGTGTGCACCCTTGCATGCCTCCTCTGTGGCCCGCTGATGCTGTGCTTCCCAGTCCCTGCCTGCTCGAGGGTCCTGGTGGGGGTTGGGGGCCCTGGTGGGAAGGAGGCCCCTGCAAAGGGATGTCTGCCCTGCCTGTGGTCACAGAATGTCAAATATATTTTAAATGGTAAAACTGGAGAATTTTCATGTTATTTTCAATACATAGCAGTATCTAAAGATATAGGCCACGAGACTAGATCAGATTAAGTGAATTTTGATCTCTTTGAGAGCCACCATGCAGAGATGTGTGTTTGAAAGGCCCCACTTGGCTCCAGAATATGCTAGCCATTCTTATGCTCCCTTAGCCACCTGTATCCTGCAGTGATGGACATAGGGGCCTTTTAGGGTGGGAGTGGGACATGGCAGCAGCTTGGGAAGAGGGGACAGAACACAGCTTCCTCATAGATTCTGGAGTGCTCTTTCAGCCAGCACACATGCCCTCATTCTCCTATGACTGCACACCCTCTCCCACACTGCCCCTGAGTGTTGCAGATCACTCACTATGACTGGATGTCACACCTCCCCAGCTGTGTGACCTTGGCCACTGCTTTGATCTCTTTGGACCTGCACCTCCCATATGCAGGAGACTAGAGGCCCACTCCAGAATCCTTAATGCTAGGGGAGGTCCCCAGCAAGATAGCAGCTTGGGTTCTCACCACTGTAAAAGGAGAGGAAGCTGGGACAGATAAGGGGTTGGAAGACCCCTATATCAGCCTAGTGGGGGATGGAGAGCAGACAAGTGCTGCTGGCAGGGGGAACAGCATGTGCAGGAAGGAAGATGCATGAGGCCCATTTTGAGGGAAAAGAATTTCATCTGTACCAAGGGTTCAGTCTCTGGGATTTCAATGGCCTTTTGGCAGAGACCCACAGAGAAAGAATGCTTTCCTTTGTTCAAACTATTTCCACAAGTGGAGAACTCAGTGAAGGACCTGGGGGATGTTCACTTGGATTGTACCTGGGCTTCCTACCCCAGGACCCTGAGGTCCATTGGGGAACTACATGGAGGCTGCCAGAGAATTAGGCTGGACAAAAAGGAGTGAATCAGTGACCTGGTGCCTAGATCCATCTTCCCTGTCTCTGCTAGCTGCAGCCCTTCCCTGGGCCTCAGTTTCCCCATATGCAATCCAACACAGGAGGAATGATGCTCTTTGAGGGTTCTGAGTGCTGGACCAGGCTGTGTGGGTCCAGGTGTTAAGAGGGCTCTTCCTTTCCTTTCCTGGATCAATGCTGAGGTCAATGCTGAGGCCTGGGACTGTTCTCACTCTCTGCTGAGACTTGGCACAGAGGCTGAGCTATAGTTCTGATACCTTAGCCTTGGGACAGGGTAGGGTCCCCAGACCAAGTTCTGGAGCAATGCAGTAGCACAGGTTGTATACTGCACAACCCGAAGGTTGCCATTTACAACCTACACAATTATGCACAGCAATGGTAACCTCTGAAGTTTCATACTTTTCCTCACTGCTTCAGGGCTCCAGGGAGGAGCTGCCCATGGGCTCAGTGGGGAGGGATCCATGGCACATGTGGAACATGCAATATGGGATGGCAGGGGAGGGGGTCCAGATGGAGGCTGCTTCTACAGACACCAATAACTTTTTGTGAACCCGCTG